AATATAAAGAAGCACACATCAAGCACCAACCTAAACATTTGACATTTGGAGGAAGCTAATAACGGAAACTCAAAGCACACATTTACAATCTTCTTGATTCAAAACTGCAGATGCTTTACATAAATGCAGATTTACAAAAAGCCACGCGATCATTTTTGAATGCGCTGAATCCATTTCAACCATATGAATGGACTCAGGAAAGGTTTTCACAAAGCTTTACCTCTCCTCTCACACGAAAGGACTGTGATCGCTTTATCTTTCACAGAAACTTGTACAAGCTTTTCCGATTTGAATGTCACACAGTCGATGCACAAAACAAAAAGAAGAGGAAAGACACAGAGGAAAATATGAGCATTTGAAACACATTCAGAGGGTTTAGAAATCATCGCTCGAGTTCTGTCTTCCTATATAAAGGAGAGATGGCACCCCCTGCGGTTTAGCCATTAGAGGAGTGTTGCACAAAAGTAGTTTATGCAGGCCTCTACATTTGTATGAAGGAGAGAATGGAGGAAAATCTAAAGTGGGGCTGAGAACAATGTGAACACATAATGAGCAAAAAGCCACTTCTGTGCCATAAAACTGTATATTTAGAGTCCGTTTGCTGAAGGACATTTTCAAAAGGACATTGTGTGCCGGTTGATGTAGTTAAATCGTCTTCATTCTTGTAGTCTTCATGTACAAATGCTCCTTTAGGCGCTTTCACACCGGAGTACTTTTCCCGTTTAGTTCCGATAGTTCCTGAGATTTTGCGTTCACACCAAAAAGAGAACTTAGTTCAGAGAACTTTTACCCCCATTTGTAGTGCCTGCTAGAGAGGTGGTACTATCCTGGGGAGAAAAAAAAAACAATTTCTGATTGGCTGGGCGAATTGCAAACCACACCCCGTAAAACTCTGAAAAGTTTTGTGAAGCCGCCATTGTATTTGCTGGCATTAGCATTATTAGCATTAGCCCCGCGCACCAACGGAGAGAGACTAACTTATGGAAACACAAATAAAACATGGGAGTGGTGGAGATAAGGAGGTGTCGGCGTTCTGGCGATTTACTCGGAAGGCTTCAGTCGAAGCTGCTGGGAGTCCCAGCAGCTTCGACTGAAGCCAGTCCCTAACTCCGGGGACTCCGGGTGGCAGTATACGTCGTGAAGTGGTTTGCGGCCTGCCAGTAAACCCAAAGCAGAAGAAGAAGAAGTGACGTCAGCGGCTTAATTTGCCTAATCCTCCCTCAGGGAATTTATTCCGGTGTGAACGCGACGGCTCTTAGTTCCATGGGGGAACTAAGTGCTGGGAAATAAGTACGGCAAAGTACTTGGTGTGAAAGCGGCTTTTGTTTTGATACAGGACGGCATTGTCTCACCACAGATGCTTTTTTGATAACGACGAGCTGAGCGGTGCCTTTCTTTCAGGCAGACTTCACTGTAGAGCACAACTTTCAAACAATTGAAAAAAGGCTGAAGGTACCGAGTTGAACGCTGAAGCACGGACAAAATGACGGGCGTTTAGTCTTACTTTTTTGGAGAAAGGCACAGTGTCAAACAAAGCACAGAAAACATTTGATTTTTCATTCAAAAAGGTACATGGGTACGCCGGCTTACTGAAATATAAGCGCTACAACGGGCCAACACATTTCCATGAGGAAAAACGCACTTTGAAAAACGATGCAGAAAGTGTCCCTGGTTTCCGTTGTGTTTTGAGCTTCTTGCAGCATTTAGGAAACACTGCACATGTTTGTTGGTGAAGAGGCTTCTTCATTTACATGTTTTGGCAAATTTGTGTTTTATTTTTGCATTTATGTTTGAAGCTGCAGCGCGTTTCTCCGAATGGAAGCCGCCGTACAGTTGCCATTTAAATGAAAACCATCAAATCTTTTTTTTTTACTTGCAAAAAGCTTCTTCCAGTACAAGACGTTTTGGTCAGTACGCAAAAGAATGTATTTCACTGTCGACTGAACAAGCCTAGTTCATTGGAAATCAAGACTAATTTTTGCAAATTAAATCCCTGTTAATGGCTCATTGTCAGCGGATTTTTCTGTACTTTTCCTGTATTTTTTTTTAACTCAAAACAGAAGATGTTGCTTATTAAAAGTGCTCTAACAGCTAACGTACCTATAATGAACAACAGCCAATAATGGGGTGTTTCTAAAACCCTGTGAACAAAAGCTGATTTTTTTATTTGGCTTATATGCATGTTTGATATTGAGGCTGAAATGTTTTTCTTTCCATGTATTTTAAGCCTTTAACATTCTGTTATTGTGGATGTGTCTTTCTATGAACTTGCTTAACAACTCAAAGCAAACATGGTGTATTTGTTCAATATTGTGACGTTTGTTGTGTGTCAGCCATTTTCCAGTGAAAGCTTTTCTAAATAAATGCTGTGATGATTAAATACATTTGGTTGATGTCCTTAATTATAATTTTTTTTTAAAGGGGACCTATCATGCAAAATGCACTTTGTGATGTATTTTATACATAAGTATGTGTCCTCGGTGTGTCAGGGAACTCACGCAGCGTCAGGAAAATAAAACCCTCTCTCTTTTCCTCCGTACCCAAATCTCTAAAAACGGGGAACAACGGAGCTGATCCAGATTTGCGTCCGATATCACGTAATATCTGAAATGTGGACCCACGGCCCAATCAGAAACGTTGCTATCAGAAACAATGCCCGACTGTTTTGGACGTAATATGGTCGGTGTTAACATTAGCATCGCTAACACTCAGAGCTAACCTGTACTGGAGAGCATGTGTGTGAAGAAGCAGGAAGTAAAAAGGAACTCACCTTGTGGTATAACCGGCAAGAGAGAAAGCCTTTGAGCTCCAGACTGTTTCAGAGAGAATCCTTGATAATCCATGATATGGCGTTTCATCACGGCAGCATTTAGTTTAGACAGTAGCTGCCGGGTCCCGCATGAGCTCAGACCCCTCCTCTTTTATTTTTTTAAAGCTTTATACCCAAATCAGCACTTTTGAAACAGAAAGTGAAATAGAGGGATATGAGGCATGGCTAGAATGGGTGATCTGTTTGGTATTTTGAGCAAAACACTTCATCAGGGTATATGCAGGAATCCTGAAGTCAAATTGAATACCCTTTAAGACCTTTTTTAAGACCCTTTCCATACATTTTAAGACCTCATCGCAACTTCGAGTTCTAACCGGTTACATTGGCGACACTTTACCTCATATTGACTATACTGATTGTAAGATAGCACAACTAAACAGAGTGCAGACAGACTACTGAAGCCTCCTCTCCACATGAACTTCAACCTCTCTGTGAAGGTCAGGTTTAATGCAGTATGCTGCTTTGTTGCTTCTGTACTCTGTGGTCTTTCATTCCAGTGAAACTCCTCAGAAACGAGTATTTGACAAATAAACAAAACTCTGAACTATGAAATATATGAAACGTTGGTGAGCTTCAGCGGGGTAATGCCATATAGGAGCTCCCTCACAAAGACCCAGGGGTTAAATTGGGCCGGGGCTGTCCGGGGCTAAGCACATAGGACGATGCTCTGACGTCATCACCCTCACACATTTGTCATTTGCAAAAACCGATATATATGTTAAGACTTTTCTCGTTCTTAATATAGACAATATTTAGGGTCGATGTGTGTTGACTTTACTTTAAAATAGCAGATCTCTGTGACCGGATATTGTTTGGCTTAGTGAACATGTGTCTCTTCCTTGGAGGAGCAGCATCGCCCGGACTCCGCGGCTCCTTCGTGCAGAGAGTCTGCACTGCAGCGGTGTGTGTCAGCAACGTGCAGTCAGGGGAGGCACGGATTGGCCATCGGGAGAGTCGGGACTTAAACGCCGCGGCTTTCTGGCTAGCACTTAGTGGCCGTTTCTCAATCTCGAGGAAACTGGCTTCTAAGCCAATATTTCAAGGATGCTACATCATCGAGTGCCGCCGAAGGACTGTTCCTATCTCCAGCATACTTGGAATTCCACCGAGGCCGCGTCCTTGGTTTGGGGGAAATTTGGAGGCTGCACATGGGTAGACCTTCGCGTCCTTAAAATCCCCACAATGCTTTGCGCACGGACAAATTTCAAAAACCCTTGTGGAGAATGGCTGAACCGACGCAGCACACATTTAAATGTAGTGGCGTAGAACATGTGTTGGTAAATATGTTACTTTGTTACATTTATTATCACCAAAAAGGTGTTCCGTGAAAGTAAAGCAAGTTCATAATTAGATAGACATCGTGAGGTATTTATTTTCGGTACAGTTTATGTTGAAACCGTTAGAGAGAGTGGCACACTTGTTAGCCCGTTCCATTCTTCTTCGTTTTCCGAAGCCGTGGCTTGGAATTATACTTGCTTTGTTTCTGAAGGAAGTGACTTGGAAGTACGCAACTACCAAGCCAGCATCCTCGAGATTGAGAAACGGCCAGTATGTTGGACCGGACAGCTTTGATCCCCATCGACAGACTCTTCCTCCCCCCCCCCACAGAGTGGAGCAAGGCAACTTAAAATAGAGTGGCGAAGTCCCGCCCATCTACTTCCGACCCATGGGACCTTATTTCTGAAAAACTATGTATTAAAGTCAATGGGGAGAGAAAACGTATCTTTCGATCCCGTTTGAATTGTGCCACGAATTACACATATGATGTTTGTCAATCTTAAAAAATAATAATTGAAATAATAATGTCAAAAAAGTCAGTTTGTCGTAAAACCGTCTGGGTGTGTGGTGCGAGACGGGAGATGTAGGTCATTGAGCGGTTTCACACAAAAAAAGTGTTACTTCACAGTTTCACGACACATTTAAAAAAATTGACTTGTAAAATTATCTTTTAGATTGACAAACATCATGTGTGTAATTCGTGGCACAATTCAAACGGGATCAAAAGATAATCTTTCTCTCTCCATTGACTTCAATACATGATTTTTCGCGGACACCCTGTTCACAGACATGTTTTCTATATATTTGTATATATCTGAGACCTATGCTATTGCCTAAAAATAGCATGGTGACCTTTAAAGGGTCTTTTGATGAGAAATAAGGAGTCAACATATCCTAAACAATTCTAAACCTTTATTTTTCTAACAAGAGTGAAAAGAAACAAAGGCAACATTTAAATGAAAAGTTTATACACAAACTCACGATGACTGCGTGTCTGAAATATCAATAATAATAATAATAATAATATTTGAAACCAGGAAACAAAATTAATTGTGACAAAGTGAGTTACAGTGAAGTTACCTTAATGTTCAAAGAGAGATAAAGAACGAGGGGGGGGGGAATTGATAAGGAATAAAATATGGAGTCAAAAGGATGGGCGCTTAAAAAAAAAAAGGGGGGGGAAAGGAAAGGAGGAGACAGCCAAGAGGTACAGATATTAATTCTGGGAAAGTAGCACCAAAAACACTAATGCCTGTTTTTAACACTTCCCAAAATGTTCTCAGTTTATTCAAAAAAAAAAGCATGTCCCCTCAAAAACAGCATCAAACACAAGATTCAATACAGCTAAAAAAATACAAGTGTAACCACGGTGCTGTTGACTTTAAGGATCAGCAGGAAAACTCCTTGGCTGCGGGGTCCAAACTCACAACGCGGGCTAAATAGCTCATCCGACGTCATGATGAACTAACTTTTAATACGGCTGGGATAACGAAGCATACTGACCGACCTCTGAGACCCCCCCCTCAGTCTTACATGGGTCCAGGGAGTAACGTTTTGGGGGGAGATATGGCGGTGGAGTGTAGAATAAGTCGTGGCTCTGTTAGTGTCTGGGTGAGGGATGAGACGGGGTGTAGGGTGTGGGGGGGGGGGGGGGGGGGGGGGGGGGTTGAGAGGGGGGGGGGGGGGGGATGTCCGGCATCTTTCTGACAATTCCTCCGACGATCCTTTAAACAGAGCTCCAGCCGTGACTTTATCACAAAATCTGAACGAGGAGAAAAAGGAAATATGTTAATGTCAAATCAAACTTGAATCAATTTACTAAAAATACAGTTTCAGATATAAAAATATATACTTAAGGACATCAATTCTTACTCGAGGTATATGCAGGAATCCTGAAGTCACATGTAATACCTTTTAAGACCTTTTTTAAGACCCTTCCCATACATTTGAAGACCTCATCGCCACGTCAAGTTTTAACCGGTTACCTTGGCGACACACTTTACCTAACATTTACTATATAAAGTATTGATTGTCCTTCCTCCTTATCTTCCAACCATTTGCGGTATTTTTGGACCTTTAAGTATTTTGGACCTTTAAGTATTTTTGGACCTTAAGTATTTTTGGAACTTTAAGTATTTTTGGTACTTTAAGTATATTTGGAACTTTAAGTATTTTTGGAATTTACGGTATTTTTGGAACTTTAAGTATTTTTGGACCTTTAAGTATTTTTGGATCTTTGGACCCTTTCCATACATTCTAAGACCTCATCACCACTTAGAGTTTTAACCGGTTACCTTGGCGACACACTTTACCTCACATTTACTCTACACAGTATTGATTGTCCTTCCTCCTTATCTTCCAACCATTTGGACGCAGACTTGCATTTCCCCATAACGATGTTGCTTAGCAACCGGCGCAAACGGACCTTCGCGCTATCAAGCAGTGAGCGCGCGATGTCCTGTTCAGATGACGTCAAACCCAACGGGATGCCATCAATAAACTACACAGAATCACACGACACACCTACGCAATGATTACATTCAGGCAGACTGTAGAATACAACCTCTTTGGACCATTCATATACTTATTGAAAACAAGATACACAATGTAATACCTTGGAAAATGCCCATTAATACTTTTTAATAGCCTTAATTTTAGTTAATTGATTTATCAACTTTTAATACTTTTTAAGACCCCGCGGACCCCCTGTTATTAGAACTGTTTTCAAAAGACTTTATATCAATAATCTTTGTTCCACCTTTACTCAAATTAGTCCACATTATAGCAAATGTATTATTTAATTATTTTTATTAGTATTTGAATCCTTTGAAAAAGTCTGTTTAATTCAAAACAACATGGCCGTTATGTAAACAAAGTTCAACAAAAATAATGAAATTAAAACTATCTATAGAGAGAGAGTTAAATATTTGGCAGTTAAGAACATGCATGATATTTAAAATATGTATTTATTGTCAGAATTGTAATCCTTTAAAACGCCAGTATGTTAATAGACTTCCACTCAGATATTATTACACATGTCCTTATATAAGAGAGGGGGGGGGGGGTTACCTCTGGTTTGGTGTGGACAGGTAACTGAGTGGGGGGGCTGTGTTTGAGGGGGCAGGTTTTCTTTGACTCTGAAGAATCCAGTGACCGCCCCCCGGCTCCTTCTCCACTTCCTCCTCTGTGACTCTTCCTCTTCCTCTTCGAGTCCTTCGCTCGGCCTCGGCTCGATCGCCTCTGCTCCTCCAGCTCAATCTGAGAGAGAGAGGGAGAGAGGGAGAGAGGGGGGAGAGGTGGGGGGAGGGGGTTATCAGAGAGGAAGCAGTGGACTGACATCACTAAAAACGTCATATTATCCTGTCCCTCCGAAAATAACTGCTAGCTAGGAGGATTATGTAGTTAAGATACATTGAATCAATCAGAAATCCATTATGTCCATCATTATTGAACTAGGGGACACTGGCAAAGACGAAAGACACTAATGGCGCATTTCCACTACAGCGCGGAGCTCGCTTTAAGCGTGCCGAGCCCGGCCCGTTTTTAGTTGCGTTTCCACTTGGCGTAGTTCTGGCTAGCGGGTACTTTTTCACAGTTTTTCTGGCCCCATAAAATCGAGGTTCTTTCCGGGCCAACAACCGGGCTGAGTCGGGCTGAGTATGCTAAACTAGAGAGAGAATCGCTGGCAAGGGGGCTACAACTACAACCAGATGAACATATTTGACCGTGATTTAATTGTAATACACGTTTCAAAATGATGCCGAAGTAACAACATACTGATACCGGTTAGTAACAACCATGAATTAATGCTTTGACAAGTCTGCAGACAGACGGCAGGCGAAACACCTTTTAAAATGCGTGTTTTCTGAATGTAGTTTGGCTAAGCTAACGTTATATATGCTCCGACCGTCCACACTCACAACAACGGCCTACAGACATAAATAAAGCAGCGACTGTATTCGCCATGACACAGGCAGTCTGTGGTTTGTACTTGTTTAACTTTTGTCTAGTTTCTGAACAGATATGAAGAGCTGTGAGCTCTGAGGGCTAACAGCTAACGGCTGATGTCGTTTTTCTGGGGCTCTCATTGAAGATGACGTCACGGCTCCGCCTACACTGCGTTAGATACTACTACCCCAGTTCCTAAACTGTAAAGGGAGGTCAGGTACTCTTTAAAACAGCTGCTAGCTATGGGTACTTTTTACTGAAGTACATTTCAAAGCCTCTTTACTTTGACTTGAGCAAAGAAGTTTAGTCAGTACTTCTACTTTCACCAGAGTATTTTTAAACACGAGTATCTGTACTTCTACTTGAGTAAAGGATGCGTGTACTTTTGCCATCTCTGTCTAAATGACAAACACTGGTTATGCATTGTGGAAACGCACTTCAAAGTTAGAGAGTTATGTTGCTGACCTGTATGAGCGTGCGCAGTGTGTCTGTGGGGGGGCTGGAGGCGGCCTGCAGGACCCTGTGGATGGTGAGGCTCTGATCCAGAGAAACCTCCAGCAGGTCTCCCTCCAGCTGCAGATCCTCCAGCTGCTCTCTGGAGGAAGGGAGCAGCTCCACCACCCCCCCCTTCAGCAGGGGCAGCAGGGCCAGCAGAGAGCCCACACCTGTGGGGGGAGAGGGGGAAACAGTGAGGACACGCTTTGAAATTATGCAATTAACAGGTAGTAAAAAAAATGCCTTTTTCAGCCTCTATTATGTGAAGATTTCCAATTTTCCTCTATTTGATATCATATAAGAGCAATTATAAAACGGACAAGTCAAATCAAGTAATCTGATTGGCTCTTAGCCGTGATATAATGAGCGTATATCACGGGTAGAATTGCAGTTACTTTTCACAAGTTGGTATCCCTCCGCGTCTGAGAAACAGCTACAACCGTTACAACTGTTACATTACGTCCGTTACGGAACTAACTAACTAACAAAGCTTAAAGGGATAGTGGAAATCCGCGAATTTTGGGTTTAACTTATGTATTTTTATTAAAAATAAGCATAATAAAAACAATTTTTTTAATTTCATGCGCCTAGTTTCATTTTATTTTCAATTTTACCGCGCCCTCTCAATGAAACAAAATACTTCGGTAATCGTCGGGAATCTTCGGGTGATGACGAAAACAAAGGACGACGGGCACAAACAATGGCGGACATTCAATAGAATTTGCATGTGAATAGCCGACCTTTATTATGGTGAATAGATGTGTTTTGTATGGCTGTAGTGCGACAGCAAATGCAGAGAATGGCGTTTCGACGCATGCGTTTCCAAGAAACCCAGCCATTCGTCGTCAGTGGGTGAAATGTGTTCAGATAACACGGGCAAACTTCACGGAGCCGAAGCTGACGAGTACTTCGGCAGTCGTGTGCTCCCGTCATTTTACTGACGATTGTTTCGAGATTCCTCGGTCTCTAGCTCAAATTGAAAGTGGAATACATAAGAAGTGAGTATTTTATTATGTTTTCTATCTGATTTAATGCATCATTAGCCTGTACCATTGTGTACAACGCCATTTATTGCCTGTCGATTAGGCGACCGGAGGCCTCGTCATCCGATAATCCGGTACACAGTGTCGAATGTGTACACTACAGTCATCATATAGACATGATAGACTAACAGTACTGTGAGTACAGCCTACACCTAAAACTACATTTTCGTAGGAAAGCCGAGAGGATGTTTCTGACTCGCTATCATCACTGGATACCTCGTACAATCCTTCTTTGTCTGGTATATTTGCCCTTCCACGTTCATTCTGCATAGACGCCATTGTTTGTTATCGTTTCGTCTTCCTGAGTTTTCGTCACTTCCGGTTTGGCTGAAGCGATAATTTCGTTTCTAAAAAACTTCGGGGAAGCTGCAATAAAGTGCTTCTAACATGCGTAAGGCAATTATTATATTTTTTTAATCAGGTGTGATTGTTTTGGTACGTAATTATGCTTGTATATAAGTTAAAACGAAACTATTTGGGGTTCAATTTCCACTATCCCTTTAAGATGGAAACATTTAAGGTTAACTTGGACCTCCGGGGGGTCTTACTATGGAGGAGTGGATTGAGCAGTGCCTATCTCCAGAAAGCACCTAAAGGACGACATGCAGAGCTACGTGAAGAGCAGGTAGACCAACTGGAGAAGTACCTCCATTCAAAAGCTTTCTGATGCGGGTCTTGAAACAAAGCAGAGAAATGATGACCGTTAGTGGCCACAGGTGCGAAAGCTCTCTCCAGAGCTGCTGGAAGCTGAATCTCGGGGACCGGAGAAAGTGGAGCAATATTCTCACCACGCCAAGCAACAGCCTAGATAGAACAACCTCAACCTACAAGTGACCTCGTAAGCCATGCTACTGATGCTGGACAGGTTTTCAGTGGCTGCACAACAAACGGCAACATACACATTAATGTAAATAAATAGCCAAATAATGGATCAACGCTCTCTGTCTAATATGTTCGCTAGCTATTAGTGTTGTTGCATAGCAACCACCTCACACTATGTTTCGTGCCGAAGGCAACGGAGGGACTATTTTATTTTGAACATCATTATTTACTAATAAAAACTATTTAAATTAGAGTGTGTATTTCTCTTTCATATTGCCACACTTGGTAACCGTTTATAAAAGCAATAGCTCACTTCAGGCCGTGATATGTGCTCAGTATATCACAGCTAAGGGGCGTGGTTCGGTCCGACAACCCCCTTAGTTAAATATATTAGAGTTTTGGATTTTTTGAACAGAATGAGGAACTGGGATGCTGTTTATTTTAGTACTTCATTTTCAGACCAAATAATACATATAGAAATGATAAACATCTTACCTGTAACATTTGATTTGTTGTTGATGCCATTTTCACATCCAGCCTGTGGGGAAAAAGGGAAGTCAACTTAATATATGAGAATAAATGTAAAGACAACATTAAATCTAACCGTTATTTGAGTCAGTTTCACAGTTTGTTTAGTATAATAACGAGTAAGAATAGGCTTGTTTACCGGAACACCGTTGCTGTCCTTGCTTTTCTTCTTGGGTGAGTTCTCGTCGGTCAGATCGATGACTCCCTCCTCTCCCTCGCCTCCCTCAGAGTCTGATAAAACGATCACAGAGCTCCTCACCTTCTCCTGCTCTCTGTTGTCCCTCTCTGCCTCCTGACGCAGAGTCTCTTTGAGTTCCTGCAGCCTCTGAAGGGCCCCCTGCAGCTCAGGGGGTCTCCAGGGCCTCTTTAGCGCGGCCCTGCCAGGTGATGGTCCTCTCGGTGAGGCACTGCAGGGCCTCTCCCTCCGGCAGGCGCACCGGCAGCCTCTGTAGCGCCACCAGCAGCGCCAGGATGGTCTCCAGACGGGGCCGCCGCGACCTCTGGCACCGCGGACACAAGAAGCGCGAGTCCCAGTCCCACCAGCAGAGGGCGCTCTCCTGGGGCCCGGAGGAGGGGAACAGGGAGGGGAAGGAGACGCAGCCCCCGTGGAACCAGTCCTTACAGAGGTGGCATCGCAGCTGAGGAGCCCGAGGCTGAGCGGAGCACACACACACCGCCTGAGGAGTGTGTGTGTGGTTCCCGTTCTCTGATAAAGAGTTCTCCGAGTGGCTGGATGTGTCCGTCTCCATGGCGTTGTCCATGTCCCACCTCCCGTTCTCCTTCTCCTCCGAGCCGCTGCTGCTGTTGCTCCCCCCCGCCGAGTTTAGTCCAGATTTACACATGTTCCCTTTCTGTAGCCTCAGCAGCACCTCCTTCTCCTGCTGCTCGCCCTCTTTGAACGCCATCACCTGGAGACGAGACACACACATTTTACACACAGAAATAATATGTATTTAAGAGCAGATAAATGTATCTATAGCCGCGTTCACACCGCAGTACTTTTCCCACTTTAGTTCCGATATAGTTGCGAAATGTCGCGTTCACACCAAAAAGAGCCGGAACTAAAATTTGTTCATGAGAACCTTTTCCGTCCCTGCTAGAGAGCAGGGACTTTCGTGGGAGAAAAAGGTTCCTATGTCTGATGTGAAGCCGCCATTTTATTATCCTCGCATTAGCATTATTAGCATTAGCATTAGCCCAGTGCAGAAACGCAGAGAGACTAACTTATGACAACACAAAATAAAACATGGGAGCGGTGGAGATGAGGAGGTGTCGGCGTTCTGTCGATTTACTCGGAAGGCTTCAGTAGAATCTGCTGGGAGTCTTCCCAGCAGCTTCTACTGAAGCCTTCCCCAACTCCGGGGACTTCGGGTGGCAGTATACGCCGTGAAGTTGTTTGCGGCCTGCCAGTAAACCCAAAGCAGAAGAAGAAGTGACGTCAGCGGCTTCATTTGCCTAATCCTCCCACAGGGAACTTATTCCGGTGTGAACGCGATCTGCTCTTAGTTCATGAGAACTAAAGAGTTCTCATGAACCTTTGTGGGAAAAGTACTGCGGTGTGAATGCGCCTTATGAAAGATTTTAAAAAGGGTCACTTTTGAATTCTTTGTGGAACCTATTTTTGTCTCTCAATGACTAAAGGCACTTCTAATATCCGTTGAACATTGA